AAAGTTATCACTATTTAACTAACAAGATTGTTCAGATCTGGCATGTTTTCAAATCAAAACATGGAAAATTATTGAATGTAAATAGATTACAAACTATTCAAGCCTTATACTTGTGATATAGCTCATTTTTTCTTCACAAACACTTATTTGATGTTTTCTAATGTGGGAGCATTTTTAGCCATTGAAAAGAAAATTTTGAGCCACTAAATACAAGCAATAAAGCACCAAGAAATCCAAAATCCTCTATAACTTGATGATTAATTAAAGCACTTATGCATGTTATTCAGTCAAATTGATAAATAAAAGAAGAATAATACTCCTTCAAAGATAGGCATATAGTTGACCCTGTTAAAATCCAAAAGGGATAGAAAACCAGTAAAAAGAAAACAAGTAAAAAAAATCTTATAAGGAGCAGAACATGGCATTTCGATCCAACTTTTCATGCCAAGCATACAAAAGCTTGTAACCTGATAAAATTAAATAAGAAGAGAAAATGACTAATACATGTAAATCATTAAACAAAAATTACATAAAAGGAAATCTTTGCATTTCAATCAATAATATTTTTTTTCTTTTCTCTAATTGTTAAGTAAAACAAAAGACATAAGAAAGGTTGATGGAAAATTCAATCTAGATCAAAAGTAAAATTATAGAGATTGTGACTGAACATTAATTTTGATTTGTTCCAGTTGATTTGAATGTGGCTTTTTTATGTAAGTTAGCATGGCCGCATGGCTTGCTGTTTCAGTTTTATGTGAGGTTATAGCATAATTTAGATGATTTGGTTGTCTTTAAACCTATTTTAATTGTTATATAATATTTATTAATTTCTAGTGGGAAAAGACTAAATTGGTATGTGGTGTTTAAATAATACTATTTCCTTCTAGTTCATGATGGATTTGTGTTAAATAAAAGTTGTTGACCTTGTTTTTCTCAAGCTGTTGGGTTTATTTTCATTCCTCCAATCAAGTGGATATAAGCCCAATTGATCATTTCCGAACTGAATTATTACTTTATTTCTCTTATGTTAGAAAACAAAATTTATGCAAAAATCATACTCAATTGCTCAAATCTATCATTATATTGTCTGATGGGGCTTAAAGCCTACAACTTCGATGAATAAATAAATTTTCCATTATAGAATTTACTCATATGCAATATTACTATCAATGTTATCATATAAGAATTTAATTATTTTTTTAAGAGTTTTTTTACTCCTTGCTTATTCACTTGTTTATTTATAATGCAAATCAAAGAATTTACTCATGATTTCTAATATTCATTTCTCCTTTGCTATATGAAGGTTCTAATATGGAAATGAATAGAAGTTGGATGTATTGTTCATGGAGTAATATGGTTTTTAAAGGAGTTAAAACTTTCTAAATTTTGCATTCAATTATGGAAGTTCAAGTGGAATGATACTATGCCCATGTAGAGATTGTGGAAATGGCATTTGTAGGACAAGAGATGATGTTGAAGCTCATTTGCTTTGGAGAGGATTCAAACCAGGATATTACAATTGGACTGCTCATGGAGAAACTTCATTTAGAAATGACATTGGATCACATTCTCTCAATGTTGATGATGTTAATGATGATATGGAAGGGCTATTAAATGATGCATTTGGGTTTGAAAGTAATACTGCAGATGAACAAGAAGAAATTAATAAACCAAATGCGAATGCTAAAAAGTTTTATAAGTTGATAAGTGACTCACAACAAGAATTATTTTCCGGATGTAAAAAGTTCTCAAAACTTGATTTTCTTGTTAGGTTACTTCAACTTAAATGCCTTGGTAATTGGACTCAGAAATCATTTACTATGTTGCTTGACTTGTTAAGGGAAGCAATTGAAGATATTCGTCTACCAAAGTCTTATTACGAGACAAAGAAAATAATTCAAGATTTGGGCTTGAGTTATAAAAAATATGATGCATGTCGTAATGATTGCATTTTATATTGGGGTCCTCATGAATTTAAGAATGAATGTGATATTTGTAATGAGTCAAGATGGGTTGCAGAAGATAGCACTTCAAAAGATATATCAAGTAAAAAAAAGAAAAAGGTGGCAGGAAAAGTCATGTGGCACTTCCCATTAACATCAAGATTGCAGAGATTGTTCATGTCATCTAAGACTGCATCATATATGATATGGCATAAAGAAGATCGCATAAAAGATGGTTGCATGAGGCATCCGGCTGACACTCCAGCTTGGCAGCACTTAGACTACCAAGATTCAAATTTTGCTGCAGATCCTAGAAATGTACAATTGGGTTTAGCATCAGATGGATTTAATCCATTTGGGACAATGACTTCAACTCATAGTACTTGGTCTGTTGTATTGATGACATATAATTTGCCACCTAACCTGTGTATGAAATCAAAATACATGAGGCTTTCTTTGCTTATTCCTGGGCCAACTCAACCTGGAAATGATATTGATGTTTATTTACAACCACTTGTGGCTGAGTTAAAAGAGTTATGGGAAATTGGTGTGTAGACTTACGATGCATTTTCTAAGGAGAATTTTTAAATGCGAGCTGCATTATTATGTACTATAAATGATTTTCCATGTTATGCTAACTTATCAGGTTATAGTACAAAAGGAAAGTTTGCATGCCCTATTTTTCAAGGGGGTACATGTTCTGATTGGTTACATTTCAGTAATAAAAGATGTTATATGGGACATTGAAGGTTCTTAGATCACGATCATCCTGACAGAAAAGATAGTCAATCTTTTAATAGTTGTGAAGAACATGGGACAATACCGTCACCGATTAATGGATCCAAAATTGATGATATGTTAAGAAGTATAAATGTGAAGTTTGAAAAGAAAACAACTAATCCTAATTTTCCTTATAATTGGAAGAAGTTTAGTATATTTTTCAAGTTGCCATATTGGGAAAGAAATCTTTTACGTCATAACTTAGATGTTATGCATATTGAAAAGAATGTATGTGATAAGCTTTTGGGTACGTTGTTGGATCTTGATGGAAAGATAAAAGATCATTTGAATGCACGCAAAGACATGGAGAAAATAGGAATACGCCCTTCATTTCACCCTACTTATACTTCATATGGACATACTTATTTACCTGCTACATGCTTTACTATGAACAAAAAAGAAAAATAAATTTTCTGTAAAGTCTTAAAAAAATATTAAAGTGCCAGATGGATATGCATCTAATATTTCAAAATGAGTGCAACTGAAACCACTGAAAATATTTGGATTAAAGAGCCATGATCATCACATAATAATGCAACAATTGCTTCCATTATGCTTAAGACGAGTCCTGCCTAAGTCTGTTCGCTCTCCTCTAATTCGACTGAGTCATTTTTTTCAAGGCTTGTGCTCTAAAGTTCTTCACCCAATTGAGCTTCTTAGATTGGAAAAAGAAATCGCAATTACACTTTGCCAGCTTGAAAAGATATTTCCTCCTACTTTTTTTTGGTGCATTTGACAATTCACTTGGCCACCGAGGCAAAGATTGGAGGTCCTGTATATTATCGTTGGATGTATCCTATTGAGAGGTTAGTAATTTTTTCATGTATCATTTTTTCTTTTATCATATATAACTTTAATAAAAAATTGATATCATTTATCAAACAAATTTTTTAGATTTTTGGGGAAGTTAAAGTCATATGTTCGAAATAGAAGTCGTCCAGAGGGATCAATTGCAGAAGGCTATATTGCGGAGGAATGTTTAACGTTTTGTTCTTTATATTTTGCTGAGCATGTGGAAACAAGGCATAATCTACTTGGAAGAAATGAATTGGATGAGAATGTTTTGAATGAAGGACTTAATATCTTTGCAACAAATGGTCGGGTACTTGGAAAGAGAGAGGTCAAGATCTTCAATGATGAGACACTCACAAAAGCATCGATATGTCCTTTTCAATTGTGAGGAAATAGAGCCATATGTGAGGTAAAAAAATAGTTGAATAATACTTATTTTATTTTTAATATAAATACTATTATTATATTCTTATAAATTTTATAATTATATACAGTGAACATTACACTTTAATCAAAGAAATGATAAGAAAAAAAAGGTCTCGCTATGGTGAGCATGAAGCTAAAGGGTGCATAATGTGGAGTTCGATTCTTGGTTTGCTAATAAGGTCAGTGTTACAATGCTAATTAACTTTAAATGAGAATTCTTACTAATTACATCTACTTTGTTTTAATAGATTGCTTCAATTGATCCATTGAAGGATGATACTATTTCTATTGATTTGAGGCGCTTAGCTAGAGGTCCATCCAATGTTGTCACTCTATACAAGAAGTATCTTATAAATGGTTTTAGATTTCATGTTGCAGATTTGATGAAAAAAAGAAAAACTCAAAATTGTGGAGTGATGATTAAAGCTCTAACTTCAAGCTTCTCTAGTATCAAAGATAATAACCCTATTTCACATAATTTGACATACTATGGGATCTTAAAAAATATAATTGAATTGGACTATACAGCAGAGCGAAGTGTTGTTTTGTTTGAATGCGATTGGGTTTCTAAAGGAAAGAGACTGAAGGAGGATGAGGATGGCTTCATCTTAACAAATTTTAATAAAATTAAACGACATCAAGAACCTTTTGTGCTTGCTTCTCAAGTTCAACAAGTTTTTTATGTGGAAGATCCTATTGATCCTACATGGTATATTGTTGTTACAACATCACCAAGAAGTAATATTGATAACATTCACATAGACACAGATGTTGATGACTACTTGCAAAGTAAGACTTTGACTCAGCAATATTTTATTGATGATGAAGTTCAGTGGACTAGAGATGAAGTTGATGGCATTCTACTAGAGTAATTGATTTGTGTGCTATTTATTTTGTAATGTAAAATCCTTTTTTTATACTTAGATCATTAAATCATTATATGAATCTAATTGGTATGCAACATTTTGTGGTTTTATGTGTTTCCTATATGTGTTTATCTAAATGTTGCATTTTGTTTTGATGTATTAAACCTTATAATTTTTTTAAAATACTTTTTTACACTTTAATTTTCTCCATAGATTATGTGAGCAACATGAGTGATAAATTGTATTGTTTATCTTCTATTAAACTCTACTCACTTATATGTTTTAAAATGATTTTTAAAAAATGTCAGCAGACACCAGAACACATGTTAGAAATACAGGATGTAGAGAACAAATTGAAGTTGAAATAGATGTTCCAACAAATACCATTGAAACTTATGTTACAGGTATGCCTCTTATTTAAGATATTGTTTAAACTTTCTATGCTTATTTTTCATTTGCATTATCTTACTTACAAGATTTTAATTTTAAGATATTTTTTCATAGAAGGTAGAAGCAATGAGGAGCAAAAATGAAAAAGAGGTCCAACCTATATGTGTAGTATTTGGGGATATCATGCTACCCAACATGGTGGAGAATGACTTGCTGTTAATTTTAACAAATATGGTCAACCTATTGGGAAGCATAAATCATTATTTGTTGAGTTTTTAGGAACTATTGCTCGGAATGGGAAACATGCACCAATTGATATAAGAAGTTGGGATAAAATGCAGAAGTCTTTAAAAAAAAATGTGTTAGAAGTTATTCAGGTATTTATCTACATAATATTTGTACTTATTTTGTTTGATTTCAGTTGCATGCATAAAATAACAAATTTCTTTGGATATAACAAATAAATATTTTAGTTTTTAGGAGAAGTTTGAGATTCCCTGTGCTTGTGATGTATGGGTTCTCCAGTCAATTGGGAAGAAATGGAGAAATTGGAAAGAAGACGTTAAATCTAGATATTATGATCCAAAAATGTCTACTGAATTACAACTATGTAATGTGCCAAAAAGAATACTCAAAGATCAATGGAAAAATCTTCTAACCTATTGGAATTCAGAAGAATCAAAGGTATATTATTATAACTTTTAAATGTTAAAGTATTATTCATGTTATATTTTTTTATTAATTCATATTTATGTTTAGTGTATAAGTGAACGAAATAAAAAGAGTAGGTCGAAAAAGAGTTTGATGCACATAACTGGAAAAAAGAGTTTCGGTCAAGTGCGTGAAGATCAGGTAAAATTTATATGTCTATACATATTTGTGCCAGTATGTGTTCTACATAAATTTTGAAGTCAATTATTATTTTCTTTTAATTATTTTTTCATTATTTATTTATTTTTTTAGGAGAAAAGCATAGGTCACTCACCAACAAGAGTTGAAATGTTTGAAAGGTGTTACACAAAAGAAGGAATTACTAATAGTATTGAGGCTTGTGAAGCTTTGGTAAGTACTTATAATAAACTACTTCGCAAATTAATTAGAAAGTATACAAAATATTATGTGAAAGAGTTACTATTCATTATATGTAGGAAAAAATGAAGGAAATTAGAAGTCAAACATCTCAAACAGAAGATGTTGGAAGAGATGATATTTTCTCAAAAGTTCTTGGAAATGACAAGGTCGGAAGAGTTCGCATGTATGGATTTGGTGTAACTCCTTATGTTGCATGGGGAGAAATCCCAAATCGAAGTAGTTCTTATCGATTAATAGAAGGTTACAAGGAAGCTTTCGAAAAAATGGAAAAACAAGTTCAAGAACAGGGTGAGGTAATTGCTAAAATGAAGTTGGATTATGCAAGGTAAACAACAAGCTACTAATGCACCTATATGAGCTACTCAATATTCTCAAAATGGTGATGTTCACTCTTTCATAAACAGTACTCTATTCCAAGTAAGCAAATTAATATTATATTATATATATTATATATATTATATATTATATATAGGTTGGAACTAAAGTTTGCAGTCAAAGTATTCTTATTCTACAAAATGTGGCAATTGGATATATTCAAAGTATGGATCCTGCACATAGGGTTGGTAACTATCCATTAGGTCCAAATTGGTGTTCCGTTCATATAAACATTCCTTGAATTGGGAAGAACACTTGATTAGTACCAACAGTCTTTAAAACAATTGGACAGGCAATTGAACTTATGTTGCATGGCCTCAAGCTTTAGTAAGTATGTTTTAATTTTAAATATTAAACTTTTTATTAGTAATCAAATAACTTATATTTATGTAATTAATTTAATTCAGGTGTTTTGTGAAGACGATTGATATACAAGAATAAACTTCTGAAGGCTAGTTGATTTGAACAGTCTTATATATTATTATATATATATATATATATATATAATATATATATATATATATTTGGTTATACGTTATGACTTTCGAACAAGTTATTTTACTATTTTAGAATCATTTTTAATGTTTTGTCCATTGCTGATCTACTATGTTAGAAGTACTTTGGCAGTTTTTTTTCATTTTGGTAATTATTGGTCTGTTGATAATTGAAATAGCTATTGTATTTAGGTTGTTCCCCATCTGGTTATGGAAATGCATTAAATTTTTGAGTAATATATTCTTCATGGACCTCTGATGATATTGATGGGTGATTATAATTTTCACTTTAGTGTTTGTTTGCTACAGAGACATTCAGTATAGATAGAGCATTTGTTTGCTACAGAGACATTCAGTAACTGTTATCATTTGAGCTTATTATCATTTTCTGAGAATTTTTTTAGGGAGCACTTGTGTTGGTGAACCCAAGATAGAGCAGTTATCCATTAGAATTCAGTTGATCATCCCTAGATCTCCGATTTTCCAGTCCGCCTGCTCCCTTCTGAAAATTCTCTTTGTTACATTGCCAAGAGTGCAGAAAGCCTACCAGAAGCTAACATTGGAAAAGTTGAGACTTGTAAATTATGATAAAGTTTGCTCTTTTTTTCATGGTTGAGTACTCTACTCCAACTTTCCTTTATAACCATATTTACATGCACAACGTGTGTTGAAAAAAACATGGAAATGCTAACCTTCACTTGATCTATATGGTTAGAGGCAAGAAATCACCCATCAGGATTTGAATTTGTATATGAAAATTTAGTGCTCCATTAAGCAGTTTCACCCCCCTCGTGTCATTGGACATCACATATGTACCCTGTTACTCCACAAATTGAGACATAATTTTTCAATTTTTTCTTTTATTTTAGATTTTTTAGGCTGTTAATTCAGGCATTTTCTTTGGATTTCAACTTGAGGGCACATATGAAAACACATTCAGTAGAAAACTATAGTGTTTGTCCTTACCATGAATGTGGCCAAATATACACACATGAATGCAAACTGAACACTCATATAAAGACGCATCATGAGAAGGTATTGCCTTCTAACCTATAGAACATGATATCAAATGCAGAATTTGCAAAAGCCTATGTAGTTGGTTAGCTTTATTCTTTAAAACACATATTCTTTGTCTTATGATGAGGCCCATTTATAATTGAAATCATTTAGGATTCAATGGTGGAGTTGAGGCCACAAGAAAAGCCCAACAATGCTGCAAAGGCTCCTGTCTTGAATTCTGCATCTTCAGACCGTCCTTATGTCTGTCCATTTGTTGGTTGTGAAAAAGCTTACATTCATGAATATAAGATAAATCTCCATTTGAGAAAGGAACATCCTGGTCATAATCCAGAGGAAAGTTACACGACTGCTCCGATGACCGCCGTCGAGCACTAGTATGGTGAACTAAATGAGCCAGATGCTTTGCTTAACAATAAGTATTCATTTTTAGACTTAGAGTTCCAATACATGTTCCCATATTTAGAGTACTTTCTTCAAGTTTGAATGGTCTATGATTTCTAGTTTGTGACCTCATTTTAGTTGGTTTATTTAGGATTTCATATAATGGATGTAATAAGATGATTTTTAGGGGAAGGCTTATCAAGAGATAACTATTATCATTTGAGCTTATTATCATTTTCTGAGAATTATTTTAGGGAGCTCTTGTGTTGGTGAACCCAAGATAGAGCAATTATCCATTAGAATTCCAGTGATCATCCCTAGATCTCCATTCTTCCACTACGCCTGCTCCCTTCTGCAAATTCTCTTTGTTACATTGGCAATAGTGCAGAGAGCCTACCAGAAGCTAACGAGCTCGACTGGAATGATCGACTGTAAAAAAAGGTAAGCAATAAAAATATCATGACTTTGAAATACTATTTAAGCATTCTCTATCAGAATTGTTAACTAGCTAAGCTACTGTAACTTACTCCATATTTTCTTTCTATTTCTCTAAGGTGGAATTTTTTTTTTTTGAAATGCTTCCTCCGTAATTTTCTTTTCAGATGCTTTATAATTATATTTCAGCTTCCAATATGATATATTATAGAATTGTACAACACATTTTTCTATGGCCAATTTATTTAGTGGAATGGCCCAAAGTTTCTTCTTACTTGGGCTTTTCTATACGTTAGCATTTGTTCTTAGCATCTTGAAGTAAACATTCTCCTCTATGCTTATCCATGCCTTCATGTTTCTACTTAGTATGTCCTTTTTATGCATTTATATACATACAAGTAATGCAATACTTCACTTATTTTATATAAGGCCATATTAATATATATTCCGAGGGATTCATTCCTTAGAGCTTTCTTGAATCTTCAGTCTAATGTCCTAACCTCGTCAAAAGGTTCCGGTTATATAATGAGTAGGGTAAGCCTTTGTCCTGTGAACCCAACATTGAGTAAAGTTCTAGGAATGCCCTTGTCTTATAATGGCCCAGTGAACCCAACATAGAGTAAAGTTCTAGGCATTCCCTTGTCCTGTATTATTTGGCACTGATATGATCTTGAACCTGCAACTCATGATAAATATTAATTGATCCATGAATGAATACTGCAGATCTGATCTGATTTAGAAGACATGTATTCATTTTGAACTTCCTCTTTCTTTGGAAATAAATTTTGATGAAATATAAATGCTATTTTATTCTATTTTTATTCCATCATAGTGAACTGAAGTGTCCAATTACTTGATGCAGTTGAATTTTTTGTCGTACTTAGAGGTTCCAATGCAACAAGCCACGTGATAGATTAGGTTTTATTCTATTAGTTTTCTATAACTTTCTTTGATAAATTTTGTCCGGGACTTTCTTATATTCTCTACTGCATCTTTTAGGAAGTCCTTAATTTTAGTGGCAGTATGATGGGGTTTAATCTGAGAGGACGGTTCTTTTCTTTATTAGGGATTATTAAGCTACGCTGTATTTGCGCTGCAATTGATTTTGTGTTTTTGTTTTATTTTGCTATCTAGATTTTATTATAATACTTCTATTTACGTATATGTGTTGAAGTCAAACTTCTTTTCATGATTTGTTTTCTGTGAAAATAATTTAAGACATCTTAATGGAATTTGCTTTGTTTATATTGGTAAACTATCAAAATGCTCTCTCATATGGATACTCTATTAGAATTAATCAGAAAGTATCCTAATGAGGAGGGCAATCTTGTCATTGATCATGTTGCATCTCAATAGTTGACATGTAGGTTTAACAATTTGATAATTAGTTGACATAATATTCCTTTCATTCAGCAGGTTGGTCAATATATGCAAACTCATTATTTGCATTTTTTTGTTGGTCGAATCATTGATGTTTTAGTGGGATACATCATCCATTGTCTGCTCGTTCTAGCTAGTTCTTCTCTTCATCTTGTGGCTTCATCTTATTGTTTATAGTAATGTGGCTTAGGCTGAGTGTCATGATACCAGATGGTCTTTCACAATCTGGTGTATATTTTTAGTAACTTTTTGTTAATTTACATAGAGCGAGTTTAATAAAAAGGCCTATCATGCCTAAATTATCTATTGAATTTGAATACATTCTATGCATATTCCCTATTCGGAGATTATCTAGATTCATGGAATTCTTGTTGGACTTTATTTAGACGCATGCATGTATCATACATTTATCAGTCATTTCATGATGAGTAGCTTTATTTTTTATAAATATTTGTCATAATTGTAGCTCAGCTTAGGTTCCTTTGAGATTTATGTGCAAAATATAATACTTGTAAAATTATATGTTAAAATTAATGCAACAGTATAGTTCCGTTTATTTCTTAAGCTTGCGGACTCAACTGTAATGCCTTATGTTTGTTTTTGACTTAATCTTACCCATTGCAGTTGAACATACAACCTTTGCTTGTTCGGTACATGGATTGTTATTCATTACTTCTTAACTACTATAAACTGTAAAACAAGCTGCAAATTTTGGTCCAAAAAACACAAAAGTGTTTATGTTCATTTTTTTTATTTCAACAATGCCTTGGCAGGGAAATCTCGACTCAAGTTTGATGTGAGATCATACCAAGAGATGGTTGTTATTCCGATGAAACAAATAAGTGAGTATAATAAGCAGCTTACATATCTTAAGAACAATGTCGTGAAAGAAAAGGAGATTTCAAAGGCTCTCCCTGATATATTTGTAGTTGTGTTCCAGAAGCTGCGTGAAACTAGTGAAGAAAACCAAATTGTAAGGCTTATAACTAAGATACAACAAGAAGAGATCAAAGAAATAGTATTTCTCTATGACTGGGCATTTGTACTGACATTACAGCTATCGAGATTGCAGGGTTTTAAAAGTGTTTGATCTCATATTTTAAATTTCCCTGTAGTTTGAATTTTGGCTTAATGATATATTGATTGACTATTGCTGTTATTTTTAAGATTAAATTTGGCACATTAGTCATAATTCTTTCTTATGCATGGTAATATGGTTTTTGCTAGCATTATTTAAATACCTTTGTCATTACATCTCTAAAGTGTTTCATAAACTTATCAACTCCTTTCTTCAGCTTTAACAAAAATTTTTGTTGTTTTTTGTGCATTTGGTATTTAGATGGATTGTCAAGAACGCTTCTTTAAGGATCAAATAGACATAATTCATAAGCATACTGAAGAGAAGGAAAGGCGGTATGAGAAGTTGCTTCAAGAGGAGCATGCTAAGGAAATTTACTGATTCAAATTATGAAGATGGCGGGGATCGCATACTGAGGTAATTCTTGAGTAATGAGATGTTAATTGGTCATTCCTTGAATACAACTTGATAACCAATCCAACCTTATTTATGATTCTTAATCATGGATCTATTCAAAATTTCAAACCAATAAAATTATTTGTTGTATTTGTGAAGGAATCTTTTGTGGTTTGCTTCTTTGTAATGCTGATTTCCACAAATCGATAATTATTTTGGTTTAATAGTTTGTGTTCTACAAATTTTGCATATTTAAAACATGATTTTTTGCATTGCATGTTATATAGAAATTCCACACCAATAAGCATTGTTGTTATAATAATATGGGGAATACTTTTTTATGAAAGACTTTCTTCAATGCATCACACACACGATTTCGCTGGTGGAGGAGCTACATGCTAGAAGTCACAACACTACATGTTCTAGCTTGATACTTCGCTTGATTTCTATGATTTTTTTTCCAGATTTTATCTCCCTTTATTATAGATATTTCTATTTTTCTAATTACTTTTTTTATCTGGATTTGTAGATAAAGGTGCACACAAATTTCTCAACTGCCTTTTGGATAATATTCATACTATCTATCTGAAAACCATCTACAAAGATCATCAGTTCTTGTCATATAGAGAATTAAGTCTTGTTAATCAATTATTTAGAGGTTCTCTCAGAAGCCAAGTATGGTGGATTGTAGGTGCCCCTCAAACTTATCATGAGCGTCTATTTTTTATTTAATTTTCATGCTTCATAGTGAAAATAACAAAGATTTTCTTAAAATATTTTATTACAATAATATGATCTAATATGTTAAATTCATAATGTTTGCTCTAATTATCATTTCCAACGATATGCTTCTTAATGTAGTTTGGCGACTGCAATTCATAGATTTGGAGGTTCAAAGAAAGTGAAATTTTTTGGTTGTATGCAGGAGTGGATGCCAATGAAGTGTGGAAGCAGAAATCCCAAGACTTGGTTGCTATTGTGTAAAGCAATCGCTCTCATAATAAGGGGCATTTTTTTTAGATTTTCATGTAGTGTTTTGTGAATACATTTATTGTAATAGATTGATTATTTATGTATATGAAGAATTAAGTAGAATTTATGTTGTATTTAAGGTTGAAGATTCTTGTAATTTTATGTTTATGAAATAAATTTTTTATTTGAAGAAAAATATCTTATGTAAGCTCTCATATGTGCGTGACATATATATAAATTTAATTAGAGATTAATTATTTGCAATTTTAATATTATGAGTCAACATAATAATTGATAATTGAATGTAATTGATATTGGATATAAAATATATTTAGGAACATAATAATGCCATTTTATTAAATTTATTTTATTAATTTTTTTTTATTGAATTGAAGTGTTGGGAAATCATATATCTTACGGCAATTTAAATGTATCTTATTATTAAACATATTCCATCAAATAAATGTATTAGGAAAATTAACTTATTTGACTCATAATATTTGTCATATTTATTCACAAATTCCATCATATAAAGGTGTTATAAAAGCTTGCATATTAGGGCACCTTATAAGTGTCGTTAAGGAGCTATGACATCAAAAATATATGTCATCAAAGTTTAATTTTTAGGGAACATAGAGATGCCCTTAACTCTATGCCCGCAACCACCTAAATGACACCATTATTTGATGCCTCAATATATCATGTGCCCTAATAGTTATATATTATGACACTTTAAGGTGCCCTAATAGCCAATATTTTTTGTAGTGGCGAGTTGTAATAATCTCCCCCTTTTAGATGATAAAAAATAATATTGGTTGAATTTACAAATTGAAAATATTTTCTCCTAAACTCCCCTCACTAAAAGAAATACATTAAAATATAGGAAAAAGTTTTTTTATTTTTATTTTTTAAAGATAAAAAAAATAAAACATAAATATAACGAACTATAATATATTCTTCCCATTTGACATTATAAAAAAGAAGAGATAAAATAACACATAAAATTAAAATACATATATAAGAAAAATAACAACATAATACAGAAATGAAAACATGAATTTTAAAAAATAAATACACAAAACAGAAGAACAAATATACAATACAAATAATCATAACACACAAACAAACTTTAACATACTTATACCTCATTGTTCTGCTGCTGTTCGATTTATTTTTACTCTTTTCCTTTGAAGGAAGAGTTTTTAAATTGGGTAAAAAATAAAAAAGAGTTTTTAAGTTGGGGCATTCAAACATCAAATGTCTGGGTTTCCTACACCCAAAGTAAATAACGTCAGAAGAAAATTTAATATTTTTATATTTTTTACTATTGCTCCACTTTTGTTGATGCCTATGGTTGTGCTTCAATAGACTTTCAAATTTGTTTGTTATCTATACCATCTCCTTACTCTCATCATCTATGAAGCCACATTCATCCATGTCTTTAGCTTTAAGTACTATAGTCTTCTCATCACCTGCATCCAAAAGTCTTTGACTCACACTTTGCTCGTAGGCAATGAGTGAGCATATTAGATTGTCTATAAAATAAGCATTCAAATTTTTTGATTCAGATATAAACATGAATTTGGCATCAAATTTATAAGGTAAGGAATGTAGAATTTCATTAAACTTTTCAAAGTATGAAAGTTCTCTACCTAAAGCATGCAATGATGTCATAATATGAGTAAACCTAGTATATATGTCTAAGATCATCTCATAAGATTTCATGCAAAAAAATTCATAATATTACATTAGAAAATTTAACTTACATTGCTTGACTTCATTAGTACCTTCGTATGTAGTGCATAATCTATCCCAAATTTCTTTGCCAGTAGTATAACTAGAAATTCTCATGCAATCTTCAGAATTTAAAGTACAAAAAAATAATTTAAGCATTTAGCATGTATTTCAGCATTAATTTGTTATATTCTACTCCATTTTGTTAAAAGAATATTAATTTTGACTCAATATATCATACGTGATGGCATATAATAGACAATTTGAATCATATGCAATATTCGATAATCAATTGATTGCAAAAAAGTAGACATGCGAATTTTTCAAAAAATAAAATAAATATTTCGAGAAAAGGTGGTTTTTTTTTTAAGAAAATACAGCAAATTGCATTAAAAACTAAAAAAGGGAAAACAAACTACAAACTAATAGAATCATATTCCTCCTTTAATAAAGACACAAATAAAGGAGGAATCTTGTCTAGGCTAATATCATCCCAAATAAAAGAGCTAAGAAGAGCATAGTTAGCACATAAGTCCGCTAACTTATTTCCTTTTCTATCTATAAAGTTGTAAATAACATGATCGAACTTGTTAATAAAGGTATAATCCTCAAATAACAACTTACCACTTTGTTTTACCTCTTGGAGAAACTTGATGATGTTAGTATTGTCCCCTTCTATGATAATTCCTTTATATTTATACAACCAATCTTTGATGACATCCTTAATAGCATGAGTGGCAAATAACTCCAAGGAAGAAACATCCCAATGAATACTGGATTTTCCAAATGCCAAGAGAAATCTACCTTTGCAATCACGAAATACACCTCCTATTCCAGTTTTGTAAGATGGAAGTAAAGAGGCATCTACATTAACCTTGATCCAATCGGATGGTGGAGGGTGCCAAAAAAGATCATTCAGCCTAGATGGCTGATTAACACCCCATTTAATTGAATTCCAACTAGCACCATGAGCTGATATTGAAGTATAGCTGATAGCATTTGAAGCAATTGCCAAAACAGAATCTTCAACTCCTTTATGTATCAATTTGTTCCTGATTTCCATGAGAAGAACACCAAATTATAGTATAAGGTACCTATAAATGGATTATGTTTAGATAACCACCTGTAGCAATCAGATAAAATAGAGAAAATACGGATGATATATCCCCATTTGTTTAAGTACTATATTGCATTCAATAATTTTTTGCGTTTAACCACCACGTGCTCCATGTTTTCTTCTTCATAACAATTCTTGGGACGTACAATATTCTTATGAAATCATCTATACGCAAGAAAATAAAATGTAGACAGTGCATTATGAAAAATTCACCACAGAACTTCCACCTATGGCATCAACTTGATTTTTCTAATCCAGTTCCAATACAGAATTGAGATAGAATTTTGATTCGTTGCTTCAGATATAAGGGAAGATAAAGACTTTCCCATTTTTTTCCAGATCAACTTCAATCCTTCTCTCTCCATTTCAGGATAAATTTTTATCTGGCAAATGATGTTCACAAGCTCTGCACCCATAAATTCCTTTAATTTATGTACATCCCTGCCACTATTCTTTATGAAACCTCTAATCGAACAATCATTAAAATCATTAGAGATAAATGTTGGCCATTTGCTTAGACTTTTGTCCAAGATCCAAATGTCGTTAAGTACATTAATATTTTTCCCATCCGCAATTGTCCATCTCAAGATACTCTTTAGAGAATTTCATCCATCCAGGATAATCTTCCATGCATTAGAGGCAGTTTTCTTTCCAGAACCTTTTCTAAACAGATCACCGTATCTAGGATAGAAGACTTTGTGGATCAATGAGTCTTCCTCCTTTTCATATTTCCAAGCAATCTTAGCTCTTAAAGGATCAACCTTGTTAGAACAAGAATGAAGAGCTCTACCTCCCCATTTAAAAGGTAAGCACATTACCTCCCAATTAACATAATGAATACCATGATTTCCATTTCCTTTGCTCCAAATAAAACTTCTACAGATTTTATCCAATTCAACAAGGATACTTTTTGGGACCAATTAATTGTAGCATTGAAAAGTAGTATAAGAAAGCAAGATAGATTTTACTAGCATGATTTTTCTAGCCAAAGAAATCCTTTTTCCACCCCAAATATTTGTCATCTTCAATTCCTTTTCAATAATAAATCTGAAATCATTAGCAAACAATCTTCTAAGAGCTAATTTCACTCCAAGATAATTATGCTCTTTAACCCTTTTGAATTTCAAAATCCGGGATATAGATTTTTTGGTCCTTCTTTTAA